AGTCCGGCTTGAATGTAAGTATCAAAGAACACTTTCTGATGGTTTGAACAGCAAAGCCTAGATTTCTTTATTACTCAAGGAAGTGTTCATAATGAAGTAGGAAAGGCATGCTGTGCAAGGTGCCCTCTGGTGGACGGGCGGGATATGCCAAAGGTTGGTCTATAAGGGCTTTCCCTGAGCCACCTCTCAGTCAGCCTTCATTCAGAAACTCACTCATTCATCTGAAAATCAGTAATAACGTGTACCCACACTGTACCAGGTATTAAGTATCAGCAACTAACATGAAAGACATACAGCCATCGGCCTCAGGGCTTGTATGGTCTAACAAGACATTTAAGCAGTGCTTCATCACAGAGGTGCTTTAATGCCACAAAGGAATGGCAGCTGGTATTATGACAATGATCTATGGGGGAGAAATAAGCTCCACTAAAAATATTACAGGGAAGCTGAGCCCATAAGGAAAAGTGGCTATTGGGCAGGCCGAGGAAACAGCATATATATTAATCCTGAGAAAGAGAGAAAAAGGCCAGCTGTGACTGGCTCCCGCCAAGGAAGAGAGAGCTAAGGCAGCAGAAGGGTGTAGTCCACGCAGGGTACTGTAGGCCATGGTAGTGAGAACTCTGAGCTTTGTCCTAAGGGCAGTAGAACATAACCCAAAGGTGTAAAGGAGGGAAGACATGATGCACAGATGACTTCACAAGGTCACTCTGGTTTTCATGCACAGGATGCAGTGGGATGGGCTAAGGATGAACCGGGGAGACGATGAGAAAGCTGCTGCAGGCGTCCCGGGGATCGGTGAGAGCGCCTCACTCCACCAGCCTCGAGAAACTCCCATGGTTGTTTCCAGTCCTTGCTCTCCTCCCATTTATCACCCTAACTTCTTCCGCACATTTCCTGAGTGCCACCCAAGGCCCCCGGGCACAGGTGGCAGAGTCCAGATCATGGCAGCTCTGTAAGGGACCATCAGCACCTGCCAGTGCCTCCATTCCCAGACACACCATGGCAAGGAGTCTGCTGATGTGCACACTGGTCAGCCCACTCTAACAAGCCACGCATTCTCGGGGACCCTAATCACACCTATTGCAGGATTCAGAAGTTTGCCCCAACAGCCTGGGCGACCTTGTTCCTGGACCTTGGAAAAGTACTGATTAAATAAGTAGGGTCCCCTCCCTGTAACGAGCTGAGTGAAATTATACAGGACAAATGCTGTGCCCCCTTCCACAGGGGTTACTGTCTAATTGATCCTCTTGTTGCAGACTTGAAGGCTGAACATGAAAATACCTCTTCCTATGTCCTAAAACTGCCTGTGGTGATGGTTGTGGAACTATGTGTTAAACCATACACTTTACATTAGTGATTTGTATGGTATGTGAATTATATATCCCCATAGAGCTGTTACCAAGACAACATATAAAAAGAAAAGCACCACCTCCTCCTTAAAGATGACATAATGGAGAGAAATGACAGCAGAGATGAAAGCACTAAAGCTTCAGGGTCAACAGCTCCTATACATGTTGCATATCGACATATTTCCTACTCACAAGCAAGCCCCACAGTCTCTAAGATGGTGAGAAGAAATCAAACCTATAAAGATTGTATTTTCCCCATAAACCACTCTATCTAAAAGCTTAGCCAGCTCAGCCGGCATGGCTCAGTGGTTGAGTGTTGACCTATAAACCAGGAGGTCACCATTCGATTCCCGGTCAGGGCACATGCCTGGGTTGTGGGCTCAATCCCTGGTGGGAGGTGTGCAGGAGGCAGCTGGTCAATGATACTCTCTCATCATTGATGTTTCTATCTCTCCCTCTTCCTTTCTCTCTGAAATCAATTTTTAAAAGGCTGAACTAAAGAGCAGCAATTATAATAATAATAATAATAAATGCATAACCATACAAACTCTCCAAAAATATGTCTTTTTGAAAAAACTCGGTCGATACAAAAGAGGTAAAGGGAAAATACCAGTCAAATTCTTCTTCATGTCCCTCCCCCGGTTTACCCAGGAAGGTGCAAGCTGAGAGCACCCACCTCGCACCGTCCCTGAGCTCTCAGGGTCCCGGGCACGCTGCTCTGTGGGCTGCCACTCCAGCTCTCCATGAGAGGCAGACAGTGAGGGGTGAGGGCTGCTAGCAGGAAGCAAGTGGCCCTTATCATTCCATCTGCAGCTAAAAAAACTTCACTGATGCCACTGACTCTGCATTTATAATGATGCAGACAGCAAAGGAGGCCCCTCTGACCAGAAAGGTAACAAAAGTTGATGTTATTTAAAAGAGCCACAGTCCTGGTTAAAAAGGCAACTCTAGGATAACATGGGAAGGAAGGAGAAAACAGACTGCAGCCTCTTTGAATTTGCAACAGCATGGAAAAGGGATTGTGGGCACAGGTGAACATCTGCCCCGCCTTTGAGGACAGCATGTTCTAAAACCTTAGCGATGAGACCATTGCCGAAAACCTGGTGGGTTGTGCAGGAAAGAAGGAATTCTCTGCAGACAATCCCGAAGAGAGCCCCCGAGAAAGGAAAAGGCCACCACCTGAGGAATACTAATGTGCTTGTACAGGGTGGACAACGGGGGGTTTACAGATGTGAGTACAGCAAACAGAGTCTATTCTTGAATTATTGTTTATTAATTATTGTGCTATTTATTTGCATGACAACTGTAAACCTATTTTGCCCCACCCTGTGTATAATGGGAGCTCTCTGCCAAGCTCAAATGCAAGCTTTAGGAGAAAGGGAAATAACAATAAAACTAGGAATGAACTTGAGCCTGGCCGGCATGGCTCAGTGATTGAGTGTCGATCTATGAACCAGGAGGTCACAGTTCGATTCCCAGTCAGGACACATGCCCGAGTTGCAGGCTTGATTCCTGATCATGCAGGAGGCAGCCAATTAATGATTCTCTCTCATCGTTGATATTTCTATCTCTGTCTCCCTCTCTCTTCCTCTCTGAAATAAATGATACACACACACACACACACACACACGCATATATTTTAAAAAAAAACTAGGAGTGAACTTGAAAAAGCATCTATGAAGGGTACAGTTAGCAGAAGCTCAAAATGCCAGAGACAATAAAATAAGGCAGTGTTGGCTGTGTTCAAAGCCAAAAGAAATCAACAAGAGGACAGCATGACAGACTAGGGGGAGGAAGCGTAAGGTTCACAGAACAGTGAAGCAGGAGCCCAACTCGAGGTGGAAGCAGCGTTTCTCTCTCAAAGCAAAGAAAGCGGCCTCCACAGTGCTCAGGACTGAGCAGGAGCATGAAGGTGAAGCAGGGGAGGGGAGGGACTCCCACTTTCAAGGATTTCCAAGTCTCCACTTGGATGACTCACCCCAGGCACTGAAGGAAGGAACGGACAGGCCCCCTTTTGACTCCATGAGGATGCAGATGGCATTCTGTGCCTACAACAATTTCCTCTACATCCGGATAGTGTGTGACAGGTATGTACTGCTTTCTTGTTTAGTACCTCTGCTGGGACCCTCAACAATCTTGGGAGATACAAAAGGCTGCTACCACTGCCCTCGTCACACACTGACGCTCAGGGCCCAAGTGACCTGCCAAAGTCACACAGCCCCTGGGACAACACAGCTCTGGACCCAGCAATGTGATTCTGGCCTAGTGCTCTCGTCACCACTGAAGCTTCAGCAGAGCAACCAACAGCATTCAAGCCATGGGATATTAATGACATCAGTATCACGTGCAAGATGAATGTGTAAACCAGCAAGTGCCGGCCAAACATCTACCTAACTGCCCGACGGCTCTGGCTGTTCAATCCTCAGATCCCAGTGAGACCTCAGACCCGCCCCAGGAGGGCGCTACAGAGGACCGAGGCTCCTGGCATTAAGGAACTTGCTTGGGGTCACCAGCAGCTGGTGCAGCAAAGTGTTCAAAGTATTGGACTCTGTGGGATCAGGGTGTTTCAAAAATCTGAAATAGAGTTATTTTATTCATCTTAATTAAAAAACACACCACCACTACTTACTTTTAAGGAGCTCAGTGATGTAGCAAATTGATTTTTTTTAAAAGCACTGGCTTTTACACGACTGAAAATATAATCTTGCTGAATATTTAAAAATCCCTCACCAATTGAAATGTTCACCCTCTAAGAAACCTAAGTCTGCTACACAAAATTAGCCAAAATTGAGGACAGGTAAAATTTCATAACAGAACATGTTGACTACTTTATTTACCTGCTCAGTGTGTCCCCCAAGAACATCCTTTGCTGGGAGCATTAACAAGCACCGTACAATTGCATAGGAACGTGCTCAAGACTTGATGCTCTTCTCCTATCTGCTCTTTTACTGTTAACACAGGTCCCAGAGTAACACCTACCACCTTCCATTCCCCCAAGCTTCCAAAGAATGACAGAGCTGGGGTCTAAGGGAGTTAAAGCTATACCTGTCCACAAAACAACTGAGCATACCAGCTCCTCAACTCTACCTCGGGTCCCCTCTTTAGATCAGAAGGAGAAAATCTGAATGCCTCTGGTGGCCAGGCAGGTAATGCCAAGGAGCAGGGCAGGTAATGCGTGTGTGTCTATGGCATGAGCAGTAGAACTCAGGGAGGTGCAGGGGGCACTGGAGGGGACAGCAGCTACTTGGTTCAAGAGAAATGGCAAGATCAACATTTTATGTATCAGCATTAAATGTTAGGCCAAGTTTGCTTGTTGTAAGAGCACCAGCTGGGTCAAACAGGTCGCCAGCTCTCACCCTTCGTGAATGCATTGTTGGCATCATCTTTTGCACCGCACTGGCTTGGAAGCTAAATCCTGCAGGGTTATTTTCATAAGTGTGACATCGCCCTGGAGAGAGCGAGGCCCAGGTCTCATTAACACCTTCAATACCAAGGGTGCCTCTCTTTCAGGCAGCCTAGATGGGCTTGTGGACTGACCCCAGGCAAGGGAGAGCTGCTCCCTTAGCAGCACAAGGTGCTTTTCCTCCCAGGTGCCGAGAGAGCAAACTTCATTTCTTTCCTGTGGCAAGTACGCCCTGAGCAGTGGCTTACCCGTTTGTCAATGTCATTGTGTTGGAGCTGCACAAAGCGAGCGCTGATGGCTGCGATGTAGCTCTGCTGATTGGAGAACGCCACGCGGCCAGCACCTTTGGGGTACTTCAGCTCTGGGTCCGTATCAATGCCAGCATAGCAGACACCACCATACAAACGGTCCATGATCATTGCCAGTTCAACTGCAAGAAAATGAACACAATTCCGTATAAATGTTTAGAAGGAACTCCTGACGAGGAGCAGGAAGAACTATTTAAGAATCATGCAGTGTAACTAAGAAAAGGAAAACCCATGTCAAGTATTGTGAAGAGTGTCCACATCAGTCTTACAACCTCAAGTAGGGGAGATCCTCATAGGCTATTTGAAAGTAAAAAAATAAAAGAATTTACACACACACACACACACACACACACACACACGAATTTACATAATCAGAACTTCAGCAACAGGATTAAAGGAATGATCTATCAGTAATCCTCTTGTTCTAACTGCTTAGTCTACTGAGTGGGCCCTAGGTAGGCAAAGCATTTCACGATGCCCTAACAAGTTATTAAGAGACAGCCCTACTTACTGACCTCTGAGACTGAAAGCCATTACTAAAGTTACACTGCTACGGTTAAGATTAAACTGTAGAAAGAATGAAGTCATAATTTTAGCTAGAGGCAATATGTTTACAGCCTTTCAAGTAAATCTCTACACTTGAAAAAAATGACTTTTAGAGTATATTTTATCCCAACTGAGAAACCTGCAGACTAACCTCTCACAGGAAATTCTTAGTAATGCTAACAGCAGCAATGAACATTTATTGAGCACTTACAATGTGCCAGGAAACAGTAAGCTGCTACTAAGGCAGTAAAAACATACCCATCCTGCACCTGCTAAAAATCCAGAGGTTTAGTCTGCAGTCCTTGTCACATTTCTCCTATAGATATCTTTGTATTTGTATATTTAAGATATATATACAGAAAACATTTGGAAAGTGATCCATTCCAAAGGTGTGATATTCTAAAATTATCTCACCAAAAAGGTACCATGGAGAGAAATGTAGCAGTTACTTACCTGGATTCAAATTGCCTGAAGGTAATTGTTTACTTGATACTGGACAGCACCTCCTCCAGGTACGACCACTCCTTTCAGGCAACTCACATAGTTTAAGTCCAAAATACTTAGCCCTAACCCTGGGGAATGACTCACGAACCCACTTCCTACAAACACCGACATATGGTGTTTGGAAAGGAAAAGACAGTGAGGAAAGATGATGACCTGGCCACCGCCGGTGGGCAAAGTCCATCACAGAGCAGAGCCCCACAGGAATCGGGATCTTGGGGGAAGAAAAGCAGCACAGCCTGGTGGGGCAGAGGAAGAATTCTGCAGCAGATACAGGGGCCGAAAGGTACAAGAACCCCACCAGGATTTTACAAGCAGAAGGAAGGCCAAGTACTACCGGGTTCCTGTACTATGAAGCTGCTGAGGCAGGTAAGAAAAGCTATGTCGCCATGACAGAAAGCTGTCTTTTTTCTTTCTCTTTTAAAATATTTTTATTGATTTCAGAGAGGAAGGGAGAGGAAGAGAGACATAGAAACATCAATGATGAGAGACAATCATTGATTGGCTGCCTCTGCATGCCCCACACTGGGGATCGAGCCTGCAACCTGGGAATATGGCCTAACCGGAATCGAACCATGACCTCCTGGTCCATAGGTTGACGCTCAACCACTGAGACACACCAAATGGGCCTGTTTTTTTTCTTAACTTCGAAATTTCTTCCCATTCTAGAGTGCCTAATATTGATGACTTTTCTAAGTGCCCATTTTTAATAGGAAGAGTGACCTACAACCAACAGGTAATTTTCAGAAGGTGAGGAAAGAAGCTAGCAATCACTAAGTCCAAGAATATGTGCTTAGGGCAGAAAGCCATCCCAATGATCCCATTATGATCAGAATGACTGAGTCACACCAGCCAAGGGAACACTGTTGATTAGCACTTAAGTAGACCTTGACTACAGTCTTGAGGCAGGACCCAGGAATCACACTCAAACAATGCCATCACGATGGTGCACACACTCTGAATGTCAGAGTTCAGTGAGTCCTTACACTTCACCCCAACAACCTCTGATGGCTTGAGGGCCTCCTTACCTAACTAATGTTATTCCAGTTACAGACACGAAGAAACTGAAGGCAAAATTCATTCATTGTAGTCATTCATGAATTTCCCTAAAGGTCAAATGGACTTAATAAAAATAAGTAACCTCAAGGCCTGGAAATTAAGCACAAATTTTCCAAAGACCTGGCTTCCTCTGGAATGGAATAAGAGAGTAAACACCCCCTCCGGCTGGTGGATGACCAGGAGAAGAATGCTGGCAAGGACCGAATGGCACTTGTCTTCCACCTTCGGAAGCACTCGAGAAAGTGTCTGATTTAGAAAGAAGGTACACTGGCTGCATGCCTGCAGCTCCAGCTGACGCGGGAGTTACTTAGCCACAGCTGCTTCTATAGCATAGTGGTCTCCAAAGGAATCTGGGGGGCTCCCAGATGCCAGAGAAGGCTCCTTCCATGAGCAGACACTTTCCACCGCTTCGCAGATGTAGCTGCTGGAAAATGATCTTCACGTGCCAAAGATTAGGTCATGACTTATGTTGCTGGCAGTTAGGTACTTGTGATAAGAAACAGAAACCCTCACTCACTATGCTTTTATGAAAATTATGAATAAATCATTTCCACGTATAAGCTGATTATACAGTCATTTTCTTGGCCACCAACAAGTCTGCAGACGTTTGAGCCAGTGAAGCCTCACTTAAGGGAAGAGCAATTCGTTGAGAAGCTAGAAGCAACCAATGTGACTAAAGAAAGAACTTTTGGGGGAAAGAATATGAAGATTTTCCATCTCTCTTTCTACCCGAATCTCTCTTTTAATGACAAAACATCTAACATGGTGAACACCCCTGAAGAAAGGTAAATGATGGTCAAAGAACTGTTGTTTGTGTTTGGTGCTTTACTCAATTAGCAAGTCTTCACTAATAGCACACTTCCTGTGGGCTAAGCTCAAACACCACAGAGATATGGCATTTAAGTAACGCTGCTAGTGCTTAAAGTGACATTACTGAGAAGTAACCACTTGGTAAGTACAGCTTTAGGGGGAGAATGTCATTGAATTCACCCACTAAGTAGATGACTAACAGAAACGCAGAGCAAGCCTTCCTCAAGGCCTATTAAGTTTTCAACCAGAAATGATTTTTTTATAAAGAAAGTACCAGTTCACCTACAGATGTCAGAATGTACAACTACTTTTAGAGGCTGGGTTTTACAGGCTTCTTTACAGTGAGTATCATCAGTCCACGTAGGGAAGTGCCATATAAATTCCCTTCCTCTGATGGGGGCAAGCTGAACCAGGAAGAGGGCTACTGACTCCAGTACTTGGGGGGAGGAGAGAAAAGTAGAAGAAAGGCAGAAAGGATGTGGCAGAAGTCAACTAAAACCTGCATGGGTCTATCGATGTCTTGTGATCTCAACCCTGCTCATGAAATGTGAGCCTTTGATCGAAGGTGTAACTTACTTGGAGAGTGTGGGCAAACCACCTACTAAGCCTGTGACAGTGACTCCTCATTCTCAACCATCCTCTGTAGAGGCCAAGGACAGTGTGGCTCCCAGAACCACATTCTTTACATTTAACCTGAGGAAGGTGAGGCAATACAGGTAAAGGCTGGGATTCAGACAGATGGAGGTGACAGCAGGCATAGACAGAGTCCATGAAGAAGCCAGGAATCTCCAAACTACTTTTTATGTTTTCTTTCCTATCCAGACAGTGTTCACAGGGTCTGCCTGGTCAGCACAGGGGTAGGAAATTAGCAGGTATGGTAGCTCTATCCAAGGGCATTCTGCACTTTGGATAAGCTCTGTGTTCCTAAGACACTCAAGTCACGTCATAAATACCTGTTTCATTATAACAGCATCACCACTATGGGTCTAGCTCACACACTGGCTCTTGTGATGACCTTCACTGTGCCATCACCAGAGAGGGAAACGAGAATACTGCAGCTGTATGTAGCATAGAGCATCCTCCTGAAGTCGTTCAGTGGTGACTATGCCTCTGAAGGTCAATCTGAACCCCAATTACGGTTCCTTGGATTTGCTCCTGGTTCTTCACAGCGTTCTGAAAGGGGTTTTAATTCACCAGAGAGGAAATCACGATGACTCCCTCATCCGACCCCAGGGTCCTGTTCCTATCATTTAGTTGGATCTGAAAGCCAGCCATCAAGCAATGTTTAAGTCTCAGGTACTATGAGAACCAAATGTGGAAGAGCAGAAATGAGGCTTCCCAAGGGGGAATAGCAACACATTCATCTTTCCAGATTTTAAATTGTGAATCTAGAAGCCACATTTCTTCTCTCTGGACATAAGAACGAAGCAGGCGGGAAAGAGGCAGAAGGCACCTCAGGGGGAGGAGGAGGTCTGGACTTCGGAATGAAAGGAAGATCCAACTTGAAGGTGGACTTTCTAGGTTTACAATTGCCAAGTTGGTTCACAAGGCAGTTCACGCATCTTAAATGGGAAGATGTGCTTACAAGCTTTCACTCCGCATCAGATGTTGGGAAATTAAAAATATTTTCAAATAAATGATATGAACAACCAACAAAGCCAGAGAGATAGAGTGTTTAACTTGATTAAATTGAGCTGGTACCAAGGTAACTGTTACTATTGTTACAGAGACAACATCTCAGACCTCAGCTTGATAAAGAAGCTCACTTCTGTGTAAAGAGCCCCAAACTTGTTGTCTGGAGATCTGAGTTTGAGTCTTGGCTTTTTCGCTTATAGTGGCCTTGGCCGATCACTCCCTCTGAACCCTGCTTCCTTATCTCTACAATGAATTCTACCACTTCCAACGTCACAGGGTTATCACGAGGATTAAACATCCATGAGCGCTCTGAACACACCGCTGAGCATGGAGTGGGGCTCAAATGTTCAGTTTGGTCCAGGGGTGGTTTTGGCCTCGACTCATAAATCTTTGCTTGGCTTGGTTTCTGCTCCATAAGCACCAGTTCTTCCCAGTCTTACTTTGGCTTTATGCTAACGTTACTCAACCTGCCCATGATATGGCCAAGTTTGACATCGGCTGTGGGGGAGAGAGAACACAAACGCATACTAACATTAGAAAATCCTTAACCCTCAGGGCAATGCAGTCAATCAAGTCTGTATGCCAAATCTGGAGTTTATCTGGGACAACTCGTACTGAACCTGGGACTCAGTAAAAGAAAAAGCTCCTACTACTGAGAAACATGACATAAGATGGTTTCTGCCTGCCACCACTTCGTAGAACAACAACAAAAGCTACCGTTACTCCTATTTCCTGAGTCACAAATCAGAATGTGACTCCTGATACAAGTGAACTATCAGAATGCCTGCACAGAATGTCTGAAATAAGTGCTCTTGGAAAAAATTCAGGCTGTAGTTCCTCTAGATGTATGTATGCCACATATCACTGAATATCTACCTCAGTTTTTTTTCTTCCCTCTACAGAAAATTCATGCTCACAACAGTCAGAGGGGGGAAAAGGCAGAGAAGGAAATTTTAGGATTCATCACAGAATATTAGACAGGAGAGAATGATCAAAGCCATAGTTAGGAAAGGCCTAAGGATGAGCAAATGGTAGGTCGGCTCCAAGGACTCAGATGGAATCTCTGAAGATCGAGCTGTTAGCAGGACCTGGACCGGTGAACTGTCACGAGGAAGTCATGAAGGCGAAGAACAGCTCACATGCCTCTCATCAGAGGACACGGAGGGCTTTTCAAGCCTGATCGAAGTTGGAAGAGGCTGGGTCCCAAAGCTTGATCACCGAGGCGATATTCAAATTAGACATCTAAGCCAAGAAGGTGGAGTCAGAGAATATTCATATTTATAAAGTGGGGGAGCGTACAGGGGCCAGATGCCTCATTCCCTACTCTTTCCTGGTAGCCTCATAATCCCCAAGCCTGGCACTTATTTCCTCTCAGAGCAAAGAGATACATTCTAGAGAGGCCCTAAGGCCCTGGGGATATGCAAAACAGGGCCATTTCTGTACTGAGGGAGACTCAGGCTGCTTACATTACGGGAACGAAGAGTGAAAATGAGCTGTGTACTTCCAGGTGGAGAACCAGACAGACTACCTACCCCTTTCCCTGTGCTCACTCTGAAGAAGAATCTGCATTTTAGCCACATGGTGGCATGGTGAGTCTGCCTATCGCCTTCCCTGGCCTGGGGGTGAGAAGAGGTGGGGAGTGGAAGGGGAACAGGAGCTGAGAAACACCAGGAGACTTCAGGCAAGCTGTCCTTGGCTTGCCGCAGACTGAGGGAGGGAGAGGAGACAGTAGGAACGTGTATTATTTGACCTAAAGAAACCAATAGGCAATCTAGCTTTGGGTAAACTCATCTAGATTTTTCCACTGATATTTTCCCATTTTCATTTATCTGGGCCTGTGATTTTTTTTTTTACTCCCCCTCTCCCCCCAACCTGAATTTATAAAAAGGAAGGCTTGTTAAATGATCAGAAAGAGCAAGCTAAACTCAGGCTAATACTGCTTAAAACAGGTTGCCTTGTTTCTTTAGAAGCGTTTGTGTGTTTCTGTCCGGTGGGGTAAGGACTATATTTATAGTAATTTATTAGTGACAATGATCTTGTCTTAGGGGATATATCAAAGATAAATAGCCTCACAAGATCCAAAGTAATAATTCTTGAGTGATAACATTTTAGTCTCCATGTTATAGGACCATTTTTGGCCCAGGATGAGGTGAAAATCAATCTGGACACCTAAAATTTCACCTGCTGAGAACTGTCACCCATCTCTGGTCCAGGATCACCCTGCATATAGTACCTGAAACAGGTATGAGACTGTTCAAAATTCCATAACCACAATGCCCTCTGGAAATAATAAAAAATGGCCCAAAGTATTTAAAAACCGAATTTGAGAAACATTATGTTAAAGAGCATAATTTAGCATCCACTTCATTGAGTTACTTAGCATTCTATGAACGCATTTCTCGCCTTCTGTCCTGAAATCGGCGGCTCTGCAGATGATGACCTGTCTAACGGGACAGCGAGATGTTCATTCGGTTTGGCCTGGCCTGCGCTCGCTCAGTGTCGCTAACAGTGGATGCTCAATAAATGTTATTGTTCAAGTGAACGGCACTTGAACAAGAACACTGTCCAGTTGAAGATGGTCTAGTGAAGTCAAATGAATTCCTCCAAACACAGCCTTCTATTCCAGGCACACACCAGCCCATGAAGCTCAGTGTGTTCCAAGGAAGCCCGATTCTCTGCACATGGGCAAAAGCTGCAGACGTTAGCACTTTTCGTTCAGATTGCATGGCATCCAATCTGGAAGTCTTGGATAGATAGGAACATTCTAAGATGCCAACAAAGATGACTTAGCCATCTAGAAACCATAACTTAGCTACAGTTATGGGAGGTGCTGGCATGGACGGACACTTCCATCAGACAAAGTGACTGTGGGTTGCTAGCCACATAATTGCAAAAGTAAAACTGAAAGACAAAAATTTTAGCTTAGCTTAAAAAAAATAACTTAAGAGACTTACAAAGGGGATAGCATCTAGGTGGGGAACACAAAATCCCACTTCTGATGAGAAAATTAAATATAATTCTTGCCTAATCCTAGAACTTGCAACATCTTGCAGACACGGGATATTAAAGGAAGAATATAATCTAGCACCTTGGAGTTCCTGCCCTGTGGTGTCAGTGTGATCTTAGAAAAGTGTGAAAATGGATTTATAAAGGGAAAATCATATAGAAGCCCTTACCTATCCCTTCAAATCATTAAAACAGAGAGAGTAAAGGGTGAATAATAAAAAAGGAAATTTAATTTATAAGCTATTGTGTCAGTGACTTAAAAATAGACATTAGAGGCTAAAGCCGGTTCTGTTATTTTTATAACTGTGGGGCTTTTTCTTTCAGAATTTTTTTTTCAGATTCCCATCTAGGAAAAAAAGAGAGGGGCTAGAATATTAAAACAAATTTGTGCTCGCAGTTAGGTGCAAAAAAGAACAGCTAGAATACTAGCAATGAATGTCCATTTACACTGTTAAAAGACAGCAAAAGGGATTTTTCTCTCACTCCACTCCTAAATCTAACACTAGTTGGAAAAAGTCAGGAATATTCCATAAGGCCCCCACCTACATGTCCTTTTCTAAAGCAGACGCAGCTCAGACACAAAGGGCTGCATCTACCCGCACCTAGTGCTGCTCGGTGGAGTGGCCCTCCCTGGACTTCCTTGTCTGACAGCAGATCATGGAAGGGGTGGGGCAGCTCTGCTGCTTTGCTTTCGTTCTTTCACATAGTTTCCAGGAAAATGAAAGTAAGACCCAAAGGTATTTGACTTTCTGAAATACCACAAAATTGCAAACTCCACAGTCACAATGAAGATATTTTGCAATCCTTCAAAATGGAATAATGCATATATTTTTATGTAGGCCCAAAGTTATCACTTAGAACTAGATTGAAATTGAGATTTAAATAAATATATTTAAAATGTTGAGGGATGTTCGGAATTAAGAACTCATCAAAGTCACAGAGCCAGATAGCTGTAGGCACATTTTACATTTCATAATTGTTCTCACGACTTGGTTTTAGTGATCTCTGCTTTCTCTTTTATGTTTTAGGTAGGATCAAGTCTACCGGCTTACAAATCACACAGAGATAATGTGCTTTCACAGCTACGGTGGCAACAGTAACCTATCTTTTCATCTTCCTTTAAAAACACAAACTCAATTATTTTAAACACTTTAAAAACTTAGTTCCTGCAAGTAATTTTGTTATATTCCATTGGCAATAGCACTGATCCACAACTGATGAGACTTGTGTTTGGATTTATATATTGATGTCATCAGCTCAGCATCCCTTCCACTGCCCCAGTCAATTATGACGGCCCAATCCCAGCAGGAACAATGATTTCCTCATCGGGAAGTAACAAAAAATAAAATAAAAATAAAATAGGGAAGCTTTATAAAAAGTCATCATAAAGATGCCTGCATACATAATTCATTTTTCAAGCTGTATAAGGAAAAAAATAGGAACCTGTTTCACTTGGAAAGAGTTCAGTCTGACACTCAGTGGCACAATTTCCAGCCGTGGTTTGTCACTGAGGGCACAAGGCTGCTGGGGACATATGGGTAACTTCTCTTTCTGTCATACATTACAATGCTAACTGGCATAAGAATGCACACTGCCAAATGTATTGTTACTATTTTTAAACTATGTGGTTGAATAGGAAAGCACTAAATAGAATTCATCCTTTCAAAATAACATTTTAATGAAATTCACTCTTGCACCATCAGGAAATAGAACATTTTGGGAGGAAACATTCAATTTTGAAAGCATCAGCTCAGCGAAACTGACAGGAGAGCATTCTTTTTTTGGAGACTGTGTATAATTGACCGGAAACCTAGAAAATATTGAAGACTAAATGCATTGGGAATTTTGTTGTTGGATTTTGTTGTTGTGGTGTTACTATTTCCACTCACCAGCTCGAAGGGGTCGTGGAACTCCCCCAACAAAGATAGTTTTTCTGGGGTCCAAAGGCTGAGAACCATCCATTACAAAGTCACTGTCACTTAGGTTCCATGGTCGAATTTGCACCTGAAAAAAAGTTGTTTACTTGGTCCTTACTTCATTTCCATCAACCCCAAATGAGAATAAGGTGACTAAAGACAAACCCACTGATTTGTGCATTTTACAACATACACAACCCAAACAAAAATCCAGTTATTATTTAATGTAATCTGCATTAAGTGCCTTTCGATAGAACTCTTGGGAAATCTACTTGTAGGTACTATACTCAACACTCGAGACATATACCATGAAACCTTCAAAAACCATCTGTGGCTTTAAGAAAAAGCAGTCTTTTAGAGAGAGATTCTGGGTTTTGGATCAGATCCATATTAGCAAAAGACAGTCTATTTATCACCTGTCATAGTACAGCACTTAGCTTTGTAAGAGCTCATCTGAAGGAAGGGAATGGAAACATTAGAAATATTTTTCTAAAACTTATCTGTATGTCTGGCTTTTAAATTCTCATCACCCCCTAAAATTAAAACATAGATCTTTCAGCAATATGATTTCACATGGATTAACACTCATCAAGTTAGCACAGAATTACCAGTAATATCAAATAGTGAAGTTACCTACTTTGGATTTATCTGACTTTTCTAAACAAGTCCGGGTAAATAAAGGCAAGCCTAGAAACTGAAGTAAATTCTCAAAGAGTAGAAAAAGGAATCTTCATGACATAGTTCTATTTGTTATGTCTCTTGACTGGGAAACCAACTTCCTGTCCATTGTTTGTACTGTTTTATCAAATGATAAAAAATAAGGTATTTCATCAGAATCTGAACCTTAAAATATATTCCTTTCCATCCATAACTGAATTATCAAAGAAAAGCTTAAAAAAAAAAAACCCTCCCATACTGAAAGGTGAGTTTCAGCACTGCCTAAAAAAGGACCAGTCACGTGTGTTCCAGGAGGTGGCTAGGTGCAGAAGCAGAGAAAACGGTGTGTCCTTAAGGAACATGCCTCTCCTTCCCTCTCACGGATTAGGACAGGAAACAAAACAGCTGAATTTTCATTTCCTTAGCATCAACAGAATTCTTCATTTCCCACTGATGCTAGACTGTCAACAGTTAATGCAAGGAAAGGCATAAGAAAATGTCTTATGTGGCTTGGCTTATATCTAGGAGTACTCCCATTTGAAAGGTAGTAAAATCTACCAATTACACTTTCAAAACACTTTGAATGTCAACTCTAAAACTGGCACTGCTCAGAAACAGTCTACACATTCCTTATTATTGCTACAAAATTCACCCCCACCTAACTTTTTGCCTTTTATGACCCTGTTCCCTTCACTAGTTAGCCAGAAGCCATAAAGTCTCCATTTTTTCCTGAAAACTTGGACCTGTTTGCAATTCTGTAAACAGGCCTTGCTCCACCTACATCACGTGGGGGGGGGGGGGGAATTTAAAAAATAAATTTTAAAAAAAGCCCCAAAATGCCTTCATGAGCGCCCATTATTAATTTTCAATTAAAAACTCAATTTCCAGACACTGTAATAACAAGAATTCTAATATCACCACCAACAAAAAAAAGTAGGATGCATCTTTTTCTACACAGAGCCGTCTCTTCGTTTAGTCTTATCCCTAATAAAATAGTTAAGGCAGCTTCAGGACCTGTCATTCCAATCACTTTACAATAACTGAGTTTGACCCTCGATCGCTTTGCTTCACAAATGAAAACAATTCCTGTGCAGTACTCATACTGTTCTGGCTTCATTGCATCCGATTACAGAAAACGCAGTCTTCTGTACCAGCTCTAGGTTATTGCTGCTCCAAAGAACTGTGCAGGCCTCACACCTTCTTGCTGAGAGCTTCGTGCCTGCCCGCCTCCTCCCACCCTCACCTCATTACATCACACACGACCCATTCCACTACCCTATTCTTGGCATTACAGCTTAGGTAAAAATACAGGAAGAGGTCTCAGGAGACAGGAATAATTAACCCTATTCATAAAACCCACATCCCCCAGCTGACACTAGAAAGCAGCTTCTCGGAGCTCACACTGCTGCAAAGTCAGAGCGATGTCCGCATAGGCCAGCTTCAGCTCTCTGCACGCCAAGCAAAAGGGAAACGTGTGGTCCTGTCTGCACCCAGACGTTCCGTTCGCACTTTGGTATCTCTGAACTACAAGTCCGCTCTCACACAAGCAATACATTCTCCATCACCAGGGCTTAGTCTCAGGGCCTGATAGCCATGTTTTTTTCCTTTTGGACTTACTCTTTGAGTATGTTTTCTGGTCCTTTAATATATTTTCCACCCCCATGTTTCTCTACTTTTTAAATGCCATACTTTATAAGCTGACTCAAATATTTTGTAGAAAGGGGTAAAACATAAATGAGAGAACAGCTTTTTCATAACCTTCGTTTCCTTAATAATTAGTTTTGAGAATGGATAAAATTAGAATTCTGTCCTAATTCAATATACATTTAACACCGCAACACAAGTTTTACATAATCAGGTAGGGTTGTGTGTGTGTGTGTGTGGTCAAATAGGCTATTGCAGGCTATACTCTGGGCAGGAAAAGCCTCAACATTCAGAGGACAAACATATGGATGTCACTAGAAATGGTGAAGTTTCTCATAAATGAGCTGACACTGATTCTAAAACCAATTCTCCTTCCTGGAGAAACTTGCTTATAAAGGGGACTCTGGGAAGATGCACCACCCACCAGCTCTTCAGCGAGCCATGCCCTTACAGCAGGGGTTACACAAAACCAGTGTCTGCAGGGCCTCGCAGGTAGCATAACTGTGTCAAGCCACCAGGCAATGTAGGAAGTCAGTGACACACTGGATAAATCACTCCCTTTAAAAAATTTCTTTTCATTTTTTAAAAAAATCACTCCTTTTAAAGAAAGCAGGCACTTCTCAGCTCCAGCAAGTAGTCATAATTTGCAAATGTGCTGTCAGACTTCCCCATTTGTCAAGAGTAGCTAGATTTTTATGTGAAACTTCAAGATTTTAAAATGTTGGGAACTAATTCAAATGTTCAAATCACTGTGTAGGCTAAACCCAACGATCTGCAGGCCAGTCTATGCTGTGGCTGGAAAGGCTGTTACCACACAGCTCACAATGGAAAGCTGTGTTCCATAAGCACTTCGCAGAGACAATACAAAACGGCTTTCCTTTAGGTTTTTTTAAAGCATGTATAATAAACTTGAATAATAGATCGCTGTTCAAAGAATTGAGAGTTTCTGACTAAAGTACACAAAAGAGATGTTACCAAATCAGTTTGGCTATTTTTTCTAGAAAAATACCTAATAGAATAAAATACCTAACTATTGTTCTATATAGAAACTAAAGTTTCATCCTAGTTATGCAACTAAAAGTCATTATTCATAAGGGTAAGATTAGGCCACGTGCTAATCTTAGGCAGAGAAAGAAATTAAGAAATGCAACATGGGTCACTTATTTTGACAGGAAGCATAACATCATTTCCCCAAAAGAAAACTTTATTGAAGATTTCAAAAGTCTTTATGTTATAATTGAATACAAAATGCATTTTATTGTAACTTTAATAACAGGATATGAGTTTTAGAAAGACCAGTTTTTGTTTTTTATTTTATTATTATTTTTTAAGCCTCACCCGAGGAAATTTTTTAAACTGATTTTTTAGAGAGAGACAGAAACATCAATTGGTTGCCTCCTGTCAAACCCACAAGCTAGCTATGTGTCCTGACCAGGCATCAAACCCTAAACCTTTTGGTGTACAGGATGACGTTCTATCCACTGAGCCACCCGGCCAGGGCAGTAAGAATACTTTTTAATACAAACCTTAGGGCTACAAGTTTCTGAACATGACTAAGCCTCCCTATAGCTCTAGAATTCTCTCAGTTTAGACCGCTATTTAGAATTTAGATATTCATCTACCAATAAATAATGTTCTCTTGAGCTCATTTTGAATGTCTTGCCCTATCTTTCATCCTTGTCTGGCCATCTCCTTAGACTAAAAACAGCAGTCACATGAACATCCTATGCTCAGTGCCTCCTTTTCATCTGCTCATCGCAAGGCCACTTCAGAAAGCAACCAAACTGTTCAGAGTCCACAGTGCAATCCCGTGGCTGGCTCGGGGAAACTACCCAACCCCCAAACAGCCTCGCTGCCCTGTGTTGTTTCCCATAAAGCACAGGGCTAAGACCCCACCCCCAGTTTCCTTTGTCCTTTTTTCAATACCCTTCAAACTCCTGCTCCAGCTCTTCAGGAAAAAGTCTCCATTTTTCGCTGCCTAATCCTACAATCCTTTCAATCTACGTGAGTCAGAAAAACAATACTGCAGAACTATCAGGATTGCTCTCCCCAGCAAGCCTCAGCATCCCGGCTCTTCTGACAACCAGGATGAGTCAGCTAAACCCAGGTCCGCTGACATACAGCTGCAACGGCTCAGCTGTAGTGGTAATGAACTCAGACCCACTCCAGTTGTCAGCAATCCTATTTTAAGCACCAGAGGCCTCACAGGATGACTGGAGTGCCCCACAAATAAACTAGAGTGTGGTTTGTGAGGCATCTTTCTCCCTTCCACGGCATAAGGGGTTGTTTTATTAATACTGACCACCAAAACTAGCAGCCACACAGCAATAACTGTGGTTTGCACTCTTCAAAGTACATTCATATTTGATATCTCATTTCAACCTAATGTGTGCCACATGGCTCCCTAACAAAAAGGTCAGCCAGTTTCCAGGAGTTTAGATGGTGCCTATTATTCCCCAAGTGCTGCCCTCCAACCAATGGAGAAGAGAAGGAGAGGCCTTCCCTGTATCTCCTGGGGGATGCGGCCAGAAAGGAACCTGAAAGCTGATCAGAGTCACTGGCCTCGACAAGATTATGTACCCTGGGCAGCTCTGGGGCCTCCAGTCAGAACGCCATCGGGCCTTAAAGCATAAAGCCATGAGTCTTACACTCAGGCCATTCCTCCGTTTCCTTAGATAAAAGTACAGTCATGCGTTGTTCAATGACAGGGGCATGTTCTGAGCAATGTGTTGTGAGGCCATTTCGTCGCTGTGTGAACATCACAGAGTGCACTTACACAAACCTCGATGGTACAGCCTCCTGCTCTAATTGTATGTGCTATACTTTTATATCGGGCTGGCAGCACAGTAGTTTGTTTACACCAGCATCCCCACAAAGAGGTTAGTAATGCGTTGGGCTATGATGTTATGATGGATAAGGATTTTCAGCTCCATGATAATTTTATGGGATTGCTGTTGTATATGTGGTCTGTTGTTGACCAAAACGTCGTTAGGTGGTGCATGACTGCAGATCAAGGTCCCACAGAGCCTCGTCAGAGCCAGGTCTCTCCCTAGACAGGGAGCCAGGAGTAACCCTGGGAATTCTCTCATGCCGTCCCAGAATGGTCCTGGTCTACCGTCAAGGTCAGAAACAGTCCAAGAACAAAAAGGGAAGCCCTGCCAGCTGCACCAAGCTGCACAGCCTACTGGATGCATGGAAACCACAGGCTTACAGCCCCTCTAGGACCTCCAGCCACTGTTGAACAATTCAGACAGCACTCTGTACACCGTTTCATAAGGGCGCCCAATGCAAAAAGAGAGCACGCATAAACTGTGCCCCCAAAACGGCTATGCATATCCTTGCTTTATGCTTGACTTAATAAACCCATTCTTAATTAAATGCTATGATTAATGACTGTACCTCTAAGCGAAAGACTCAATGGAATGCCTTTCCTCTAAAGTCTAAAGGCTTTCCTGACTCCTGTGGGAACATCTGACCATGTTGCCCTTTGAGCCCGCCCCTGCCTTCCCCAGCCCAACTACTCCTACAAAACTTCTATCATTGCACCTGTGACTCCTTACTTCACTTACTATTCACCTGTCTATCTTCCTCCATTGGCCTCCAGGGTCCTCTAAGGCTGAGCCCATATCTCTGCATGCTTCCCAACTGCCCAGCACAATGACCAACTCTTAGTGAGTGCTCAGTGCTCCACAGTGAATGAACAAAGGCTTTCCTGAGGGACAGACATGGGTGCCCAGCAGCTGCCTTCCTATCTCCCAGATCACTCCCCTCACTACACTGAAAGCTACCTTCTGTGGGCATGGAAATACAGTATGTCTGGTCACCAGTAGATGTCCCAAGACTTGGGCCCAATCAGTGTAAATTCCTGATGCCACCAGGTACCTAGTGCTCATCATTACTGCTGGTGCTTCCACATCTCTTAGAAAGGGTAAGCATGACAGTCGAGTCCCTTTTGAAAGAAAGAAGAAACTAGGACTTTTGAGCACCTACACTGCACCATTGTGCCAGGCATTCTGCACACATGGTTACACCTAAACTCACTAAAACTATTATGCTGTCAAAATTATACCTACTTTAGAGATAAGGAAAGGAAGAATCAGAAGAGTAAAGTCAACTCAGGACTGGAACCCATGTTTATCTAACCCAAAGCCTATATACTATGCACTTTTTCCCTTGCAATGACGTTGTGTGCCTGCAAGGCTCCCTGTCCTCCAGGCTACTGGCCACCAGTCATACTTGCTCACAGTCTCCTGGACAAGTCACGGTGCACGTTTATTTGTGAGTGATTAACCTCTCTCTTCTTTCCAAACTTATTCTACCCATTTTCAATGCATTAAAGAAGTAACAGATGGACTCTTCTTACACCTAACAAACCTAGCCATTAGAAAAGTTCAAGAGGATGACTTCGCAATGAAACTGGCACAGTCTTCAGCTATTTTATCTTCCGGGTTCACAGACTCAAGCAATCATGCTCTGTAGCCACACGATTTTGTCCAGTGTGTACTTTCAGCTCCACGGTACGTGGACAAGGATGTTGTTACTGGCATGCTGGTCACTAAGACTCTTGAGAGGAATGTACACATAAAAGTTCAAGTGACCTAAGTTTTTCCTGGGAAGAAGCCTATTCTTTGCATGCGTTTCATAGAACAGTAATTCTATACAAATTTTCACAAGTATAATTCCCAACCAGGTATATAATGTGCTGGGTTAAACAATATTACACAATTTACTTACTGCAAGACTTGTCAGAATTATATCACTTTTTCCCAAATGTTTTTGGCTATTGAACCTTTAATTAAAGAAAAAAATAGATATAAAAGGCACAAAGTTGATGCTCAATAAATGACACCCATTATTATTATGAGCAAACCTTTTGTTAGTGTTCCTCTCAAGAGACCAGTGTTGATGGGACAAGTGTTCTTCAGAATGCACTTTGGGAAACACTGAGTATGGTGCCTTAGGGCAGCGGTCGCCAACCGGTGGTCCACTGGTGGTCCGTGAGGTCTGAAAGGTTGGCGACCACTTCCTTAGGGGACGGACTGGCTGTTTTTTGTCCACTAGGTACTGCTTAGTACACTGGAACTGCAGCATCTTTTAGACCTCAATAACAGCTTCGAAAAAATAAATAATAACAGTTTCCAAAGACTCAAGCAAGCACTAAGGAACTCTGGACCCATATCAAAATCAGAGATTCAGGGGGGGAAATAGGATTTATTATGAAGAGGAAGTACTGCTCTCATTTTAGAGGAGGAATCCTCCTTTGGAGAAATTCCTATGATGGAAAGTGCCCAAACCACAAATTTAGACCAAGGATTCAAAAAACAAACAAACAAAGAAGATCAGAAATGCTAAAGATTTCCAGGGGGGGATATAACAAAACCAGATTTGATTGAGCCAAGATAAAAACACAGTTGTCATTTTAGAAGGTCGTAGACGGAGAATGAAAGAGTTTGAGTAAATATACCACAAACGCAAGGACTGAGGCCGTCAGTCAGGATGCCCTATAACTTAGCCCCTTTCTACTTTTCCCAATTTCATCTTCCTCTACTCCTATCATACTTTTGTGCTCCATCTAACCAGCCTAAATGTTCACCATTCATACCACACAATTTCTCATTTCTGTGTTCATACTGTTGGATTTCTCGAAAATGTCTGTTTACCCACCCCTCCACCCCTCTCCTGGCCAATCTCCAAACTCTCTTAATCCTTCAAGGCCTAGTTCAAATGACACTTCATTCAAGAAGCTTTCTTTTATCACTCCAGGCATATATAAACTCTCCAAAGTCCTTACTTTATATCTTATCCTCATTGTATTTATTTTCCTTAGTTTGACAAATATTTAAGAACCTTTTATGCATCAGGCTCCATATTAGTGTGTATTTAAATACTTGTTTTATCTACCCATGACACTATTACGTTTTTGACACAGGGTTTTATGCCTGATTCAGAATAAGTTCTGATTCATAATAACCAGTACAAAGGCCTTGCCCACAATCCACACTCAAAGGTGGTTTGAAGGAAGGCAGGCAAACCGTTGTAGAAAGATGGCTGCACATGGGCTGGCGACAGCTCGAGCAGCAGGTACAGTTTGCTGTAGATGGTGCAGTGACCAGAGAAGGCTTCAGGGAACAGAAGGCATTTGAGAGGGGTCTTCAAATAAGGACAAGAATTAGAAATTAGGATGGGAACAGAAATATCTTAGTTATTTGAATATGGGGTTTAGAAGGAAAACAGAAAAAGGTAAGTTTGGAAAAAAATGTGAAGTCAGACTGGGAAGGTGTTAAATCCCAGGCAAAAGGATCTGGACTGCTTTTGTAACTAAAGAGGAGGGATGGAAAGTGCTAGCGATCTCATTCATATATGGATGGGGGCAAGAGAGACCAGAATGATAAGCAGATTGGACAGAAGCAAAAATTAAAGAATTAAGCCAGCCTCTATTTCTAGCTTCCTTGCTCCTAACATTTTTTTTTTCAATTTTTGCTTTCAAGTTTTAAGTGGATGACCATGTTACCTGAGCAATAACCTAAAGAAACACTGTCTGGTAAGACAGTTTTTAAATACTATACAGCAAATCAGTCAGTCATATTTCAGGATATTTACCATTGTGATTGTGCTTTAAACTTCAAGGAGAAGGAAGCAGGAAACTTCTCTGATATGCCTTTCAAGGTGTTTACTATCCCACATCCCTGGCCAAAGTGTGCTAGAAGGTAAGAAGCATAAACCTCTCCTTCCTCGCCTCCTTTTCAAGTTTCTCTTTTTCAGCCCCTATCCCTGTTAGACCCTCCCAGGTTTCCTGCTCTATCAGATTGCTGTCCTGAACTTTCAGGTTCAATCTATTCATACATTCAAAAAGTAGTGTCACCTTAACAAGAGGGACCACGGTCACAGTGTCTGCCCACTGCACCGCAGGCCTGGACGAGGACAGAGCCGTCCTCTGGGATGTCTGGGACATTGAGCTATGGAACTGATCTTGCTGGAGGAGGAAAATCATATACCTAGGAATTTTGTCATAGTTCCTGCTCTTGCCGATTTGACTACCCATTCTTTGGGCCTGAGGAGTCAAACAATCCGGCCACGAACGAAGTTTCTTCCGCCACCTTTCAGGATCAGTCCAGCTCACAGAGCAGTCTGAGTGGAGCCATTTAATGAAAGGTAATCGCAGACCAAAAACACGAACACTACCTGAAATCCACTAATTAGGGATTCGTCTGAGTTAAAAACAAACATGATCTTAGAAGGTTCAAGTCAGAGGGAACCTCGCTATCAGGCTCTGTACTAGGAAAAGAATCTTGATTAACCTAATCCACACAAAGGGAACGGGGTCTGATGCAGGAGGATGCGGGGTGGGGGTGGGGGTGGGGGTGGGGGCTGGGGAGGGAGGTTAGGGGAAGGACAAAGGATAGAAAATCTGTGAGGTCATTTTGGAACATGGTATAGTTCCAAGGAGAAATCCAGGGAGGATTGGAGAGAACTAAACAGCAGAATGAGGGCACTGGGATACTGAAAGGTAGCCAAGCTAAGAAGCAGAAAAAGTAGAAAGAGCCATAGCTCAGAGAGTTTGGCAAATGAGCTCCAAATGCTGACTTTACTTTGAGCTACTGCCAAGGTCCTCATTTACTCCCAAAGGTTCGCCCCGGCTCTCACTTTCTGTGGGAGCATCCAAAGTGAGGTGGGAGGTGTCGAAACCTGGGAGGGAAGTGTGGCTAAACGAGGCCAGGAGGGAGAGAGGTAGAGCTGAGGCACAGGAAGAGAAGGGTTCAAAAATGGGGCCAAAAGAGTTGGAACCCAAAATGGGATCCAGCTCCTTCGAATTACAGGTGTTTGGGGATTTCTTTGTTTCCCAGCCTAAATTTTATTCAAATTGTTTATGCTTGAAACTCTGAGTGTGCTTGGGTCAAAGAAATATGTGATCGGCAGCCACCATTCAGAATTCACTGAGCTCCAATAAACTGCTTCACCTGAGCTCAGAAAGTGAAAACTGCAATAAGGCAAAAATTTGTAGAAAACACAAACAAGGAAAGTTAGTTTCTCCATAAACATTTCCAAGACAGATAATTACACTATTTTCAGAAGTCCCTCAAGCCAAAGGTAACACGTGTTTGGAGTGAAAACACTCAACAGTAATGGTGTTGCCTCCATACCACCTCCATCTGCAACCACCACTGCTCATTCCCCTCTCAAGAGATGCCCAGTCCTGGTGAGGCTTGCCCCACAAGGAATATTATCCTCCCAGAGAGCCAGTGATGAGCCATCCGAGGTATACAAGACCCATCAGCTCATCTCTAATTTCCTCCCCTCAATCCAACTGCTTCTTAGTCTACTATG